TAAGTGCTGTCTGGCTGCTTCTTTCTGTTTATAGTAAAAGAAAAAAAAAGAGAGAGGGAAAAGCTAAAGAACTAAATATAAAGAAACCAGAAATTGATGAGTTTTGAAGTAAAATGGTCTTCGATTCCAGTCTCTCTAGAAGGTGAACAATGCAAAAAATTAACAAATCACACCAGGCAAAGATCAAATACCAGGAAAACATGACCTAAAGGTAACAAGGAGATGTGACTGTAAAATCCATGCGAAGACCTGAGAAAGATATTAGCTAGTATATTTGAGAACCATTGAGTGAGACAAGAGACCCTCTTAGCAGCTTATTGGTATGTGTTACAGGTCCTCACAGTCAAATAGTAGGAATTCTAATAATCTTAAGGGCATTTTCTTTCTGTAGGTCAACAGAGGGACAAGGTGAAAGGAAGCTTATCTTTATGACATTTTAAATTTGCCTTTTATTTAATGGAGCAAATCTGAATAACGATCATAGAAAACCCATCCATTTTTAAGAGAACCATATTGGAGGTAATACCACCAGCTTAGCTTGCACTGAAAGGAACAGAGATGGTACAAAATGGAAAGAAGGCTTTAGGCCCATAATTTCTATGGCCAGAAAACTATGAAGCTGCAAACACAGACATTTTATAAAACAGGAAGGATGACTCAGAGTGCCAGAACTGAGATCATGAGAGACAGAGCCAAGTGCCATGGATAATTATTTCCAGAAAATAGTAGGACTGAGTCCTAATTAAGGAATTACCAACACGTGCCTGACTAGATTTCAGAACTGCTATGGACCAAAGCAACTTCTTTATGCCTCTCATTTTTCTCCTTTTGAACCAGAGAGTCTAAGTTAATTTCTCTATGCATATTTACCATCATACACTGGGTGTGGGTGGCATAAAACTTGTTCATATATCTTCAGATTGAGAACTGTACTTGAGTAACTGTACTCAAATAGCTTCATCTGGAAATCCGTAGGAGCTTCATTTTGGTCCAACTTTGCTTAGATGATGACATCCTGGATTTGGAGTAGGTGCTCTAATGTAATGCAATTT